CTCTCAGATATCAAATCAAGACTTGAATTCGTTTATGAGTTGGCTGTGTGTGGTCATGCTTGCAGGTCATGAAACTAGAATTAGACTACAAGGAGAAGAACACGGGCTTAAAAGAGGATGGAAAAGAGAGGGCAGTGAAATATGTGGGCCATGAAAACAGAAGGTGCAAACTACTTGTGGATGGGAACACAAAGAGATATGCCTAAAACAGTGTTGATTAAACCAGGTAGCGTATGAACCCAAGAAATACATGAAATGATTGATATAGGCAAACTTCAGAAAATAAAAGCAAAAAAACCTTGAGATCACGTTGAAGGAATTCTGTTTTTGGTAGAAGAAAAAAGACAAAAAGAAAACCACGTAATTACAATGAGGCATGTAGTCCAAGGGATAAAGCACAATATTTGTTAAAGTGCTGAAATAGAAGCAATTTTCAAATCTGAATCTCTTGGTCTACATATATTATTCTCCAGGGTTATAGTGGAGATAAAAAGATATCATCAAAAGTAAACATAAGTGTTTCTCAATATGAGACATACTGCTAAAAAGGACTAAAGGAAGTTTACAAACAGAAGCAAATCTATAGATGTTGTGGGGTGCTGCGGGTTGCATTCCGCCACCCAGCTCCCACCACCGGCTAGCTTTACCCGAAATAACAACACACAAACTGTATTTATTTAAATCACTGCTTGGCCCATTTCTATCTAACCTCTTCTAGGCTAATTCTCACATATTAATTTAGCCCATTTCTAATAATCTGTGTTGCGCCCCTAGGTGTGCTTACCAGGAAGATTCTAGCCTATGTCCATCCTGGGCCTGAGCTTCATAGCGTGTGTCTGCCCAGGAGCCAGGAGAATGGCGTCTCTCTCAGGCGTCTGCTCCCGAAAGGAGAGCTGTGGAGTCTGAGCTCACTTCCTCTTCCTCCCAGCGTTCTGTTCTGTTTACTCCTCCCACCTATCTTCTAACCAATAAAATGGGCCAAGGCAGTTCCTTTATTAGCCAATGACCTTCCTCCATCATTTCCCCTTTTTCTGTTTAAACAAAAAAAAAAGGCTTTAACTTTAACATAGCAAAATTACATATAACAAAACAGTTATCAAGTAAAAGTTACAATAATCTTTATCATAACTAAGGAAAACTATAACTATAACTAACTATTCTTAACTCCATCAAAGACTCCAGAAAGATACAATACTACCTAAGCAAACAAGAAAAAAGCAACTTTTAAAACTCTAGAAATGACAGAGACATCTTGCTGCCTGGATAGTCACCCAAGGTTCCTCTGTACCGTTGGGGCATCCATCTTCAGCCTTCAGGCCCATGGTATTCAGCAGACATTTCCATAAAGCAGGAAAATTCAAAGTCAGTTCAGTCACTATCTGTTGTGTCCTGCAGAATGTCTCGCAGACTCTTTCATGAATCAGGAACCCCAAAAGATCATCTCACCTTAGGCAAGTTCAGTAGTCCTCTCTCTGTGGGTTCTCTGTGTCCAGTTTATGCAATAGTCCAGGCAAGAGCAGTTTCTTGCCCAAATGGCTATCAAACTCCATAAGGTGCCTCTTCGATGCCCATCTTCCTCTTAAAGTAGATTGGTGCTGCCAGGCGCAGAGTGTCTCATTGTCATAAAATGTCCTAAGTTATTAAAACATTTAAAATGCCATATTCTATAATCTTTGAAAGATATGAAGAATGCCTATCTAAAATATATCTATGTACATCTAGAAAATCTTAACTAACATGACTACAAACTTGACTATTATGATTATCAATTAACAATCTATATTTCTAATTATACATTATATTTTTAAATGAACTACACAATCACAATACCTTAATCAAGATCAAGAAATACATATACATATAACCAAATTGACCTTAAAATCCATACCAATGCAAATTATTCATACCTATATCATTTGCCCCTTTAAATGTAAAAGAACATTTATAAACAATATTTGGGAACATGGGCGCAGTTTTTTCTCTCCAAACTGCTTCCTGCTGAATGGGGGCGTCATTAATTAGGTCTTTCATGGTATAACCTGTGTGCTAGTTTCATCTCAGTTGGCAGTTGAGCGAAGCAATTTTCTGAAGATGTTCACAACAACCCTTCAGGAGGGCGTGGTCCATCATACCATATCGGGATAAATGCAATCCACAAGGTCTGATCCTCTGTGAAAACAAAAGAAGAATCTCTTTTCCAAAGTATCATATCCTTAGATCCAAATTCTAAATATCTATGTTGGATTAGTTCAGCAGCATTTATAAATAAATATCTTTTAGCAGCTGTTGCTCCTTCCTCAGCATTCAAATAATTCAAAGAGAGCATAATAGCATACAGTATCAAAATTCTCTGTGTATTTTCCATCTTTGTGCAGCTTTGTTTTAACCTCTATTTTGTTTATTTTTACTTTTAACTCTTTGCTTTTTGAGACAGGTTCTCTGTATCTTTGACCTGTAGTAACTCTGTAGACCAGGCTGTCTTTGAACTCTCAGAGATCCGCCTGTCTCTGCCTCCCAGGCATTCGGGATTAAAGGTGTACACTACTACACCTTGAACTCACAGAGATCTGTTTGTCTCTGCCTTCTAGGCACTGGGATTAAAGGCGTGTGCTACCACACACAACAACTCTCTTCCTTTTTTTGTTTTTTACTTTAAGAACTTCAACTTTTAGTCTGCATATATTTTTAACACACTTTAAACCATTTAAAAATTTTCTTTGTCTTTGAATCTCTCTTTACTGTATATCTCTCTTTTTCTGACCACATGAGTCTTTAATTTACCAAGCAATATCAGTAGGATTAAAGGTGTGGCTTTGCCGACTGGATCCAGCCCATTCCTTAGCTTTCCAGCCTCATGGCTGAGGTACTGGCTGTAGCCATGTTTACTGCCACAACTCTATGGCATTTCAAGGTCCCTGCCAGCAAGCATACTTCAGCAGCCTGTGCTTGCAAACCGCACGAACTGCCTGCATAAAAGAGTCAGAGTTTGCCCTGGCAGGACAGCCCAGAAAGCCGGCATTTTTATTTTTATTTATTTATTTTTTTTTCTATTTTTTTTATTGAGAAAAGGAGAAAAAAAAACAAGTTTCCACCTCCTCCCAGCCTCCCATTTCCCTCCCCCTCCTCCCACCCTATGCCCCCTCCTCCCACCCTTCTCCCCCTCCCCCCACTCCTTTCCCCCTCCCTCTCCAGTCCAAAGAGCAGTCAGGGTTTTCTGCCCAGTGGAAAGTCCTAGGACCTCCCCCCTCCGTCCATATCTAGGAAGGTGAACATTTAAACTGGCTAGGCTCCCACAAAGCCATCACATTACGTAGGATCAAAACCCCGTGCCATTGTCCTTTGCGTCTCATCAGCCCTCATTTTTCGCCATGTTCAGAGAGTCCAGTTTTATCCCATGCTTTTTCAGTCACAGTCCAGCTGGTCTAGGTGAGCTCCCAATAGATCAGCTCCACTGTCTCAGTGGGTGGGTGCATCCCTCGTGGTCCCGACTTCTTTGCTCATGTTCTCCCTCCTTCTGCTCCTCATTGGGACCTTGGGAGCTCAGTCCAGTGCTCCAGTGTGGGTCTCTGTCTCTATCTCCATCCATCACCAGATGAAGGTTCTATGATGATATGCAAGATATTCGTCAGTATTGCTCTAGGATAGGGTCATTTCAGGTTCCCTATCCTCAACTGCCCAAGGAACTAACTGGGGACCTCGGCTTGGGCACCTGGGAGCCCCTATAGAGTCAGGTCTCTTGCCAACCCTAAAGTGGCTCCTTTAACTAAGAATTGTGGTTCCGTGCTCCCCTGTCTAACCTTCCTTTATCCCAATCCTCCTGTTTTCCCAAGGCCCGACCTCCTTCCCTTCTAACTTTTCTCTCCCCATCTCCCCTTACCCCCATCCCACCCCACCCCCAAGATCCCAATTTTTTCCCCGGCAATTTTGTCTACTTCCCTTAGCCAAGAGGATAACTATATGTTTTTCCTTGGGTTCCCCTTCTTACTTAGCTTCTTTAGATTCACCTATTGTAGACTCCGTGACCCTTATTTATGGCTAGAAACCAATTATGAGTGAGTATATCCCATGTTCATCTTTTTGGGTCTGGGATACCTCACTCAGGATAGTGTTTTCTATTTCCATCCATTTGCATGCAAAATTAGAGAAGTCATTGTTTTTTACCGCAGCGTAGTACTCTAATGTGTAGATATTCCATACTTTCTTCATTCATTCTTCCATTGAAGGGCATCTAGGTTGTTTCCAGGTTCTGGCCATTACAAATAATACTGCTATGAACATAGTTGAACAAATGCTTTTGTCATATGATAGGGCATCTCTTGGGTATATTCCCAAGAGTGGTATTGCTGGGTCCAGGGGTAGGTTGATCCCGAATTTCCTGAGAAACCGAAACACTGACTTCCATAGTGGTTGCACAAGATTGCATTCCCGGCATTTTTAAATGGCGCAGCTTTTTTTCTGCTACGGCTGAAAACTGAAAAGCATGCGTTCAGCTTTTCGTCAACACCATTTAAGTGTTTCGTGGCAGGACCTCTTAAGAGCTGCAGGGTTTTGCAGCTGAAGCTGAGTCAGGAAGCCTCTCTTAGATGAGGCGCTTGCTTGCCTCTAGCAAGCAGAGCAGACCCGAGAACACAGCGAGTCTAGTTGCCATCAAACAAATCGTAGCACTTTACTCCAAATGCTCTATTCAAAAGCTCTGTATCCCTCAGGAGCCAGAAAGAGATCGCAATGGCGGCACAGCCCCAGGAAGTCGCACTTTAAAATGACACAGCGTTTTTTCTGCTACTGTTGCCGAATCAGGAAATCTCTCTACAGCATGCCACCAACGAACAGCAAAAATCTGTGTTAAACTCTCTCTCCCTTATTTGTAAGCCTTCTGAGGTTTTTTAAGTGGGTTTAGTCCATCACATCGGGCGCCAATCTGTAACGGCGTAAACAAATGCAGACAGATTGTAAAAAAATATATATCTATAGCTTTAATGTAGAAATAGACTTACAGAACCACCGTTCCAGAGGAGACCAGGAAAGCAGAAGCAATGGCTGGGAGCATGCTCACCAAATTTATAGGCAGACATTAGCCCGAGGCGAACACGCCCCCCAAGGGGCGGGACCTATCCCTACATATAGAGGAAACATAGAAATATCTGGAAGAAGGAAAAATAAAATCAATGCAGAAAATGATTAAACAAAACACAAATTTCATTTTCCTCTTAATATCTCTCAGTTCTGTGTGATGTTTTAAGCAGGAAGCATAGTGATGTGATGTGGTCCTCTATAGACATAGAGTAAATGTATTGTAGATTTTGTTCTTACAAGGGGTGATTGTGAAGGAGCTATAATTACAATAATATCAAATAGGGTTAGACTCGCAGGCAATCACAATGTTTGAGTTCCACTCTCTAGCTCTTATCAGGGAGATCTTGGATAGCTGCTGTAACATACTTACTCCAAAGTGCTTTGGTCTTTCTATCCAGCTGAGATGAGAAGGCATTTATGCACACAGGATCATGTTTAACCTCAGGATTGCTAATGAACAGAAGATGAGGTATTGTTATTATATTGAATGGATAAGGATGGGGGAAGGGATCTAACTCACCCTTTTGTCCCAATGTTCTGTCCGGTCTGGCAGACATCACAGCACACTGGGTTCTTCCATACAAACTCCTGCTTCTGGGTTGCAGATATTTCCCTTTATGTTTACACTAGAAGGTAGCAGAAGGGAAAAGAAAACTCATGAAATAGAGGAAACCAGGATGAGGAAGCACATAAATCCCAGGGGATGGAATGATGGTGCCTTGTCTGTGCAGACGACATCAATGGAAGGTACACAATGATGTTTTTCCTCCTCCCAGGTCATCTCACCACCCTGGGCATATACAGTGATAACTGTGACTGCAGACACATACTGGGAATGTGAGCTTGTGCATTTCCCATTCCCATGGCAAGAACTCCCCTTCTCTGTGTGCACTCAGGCCCCTAATTTCATGCCACAGCCTTCCATGGGCAGCACAAAGGGGGCAAGGGAAATCGGCCAACCACAAAAATACACAGGTTTTGTTTCCTCTCCATTCAGGCCCTGAAAATGATTCTTTGAGGTAGGCATCATTACTTCCTTTCCATACAGGGGCTCAGAGAGTACAATGCGTAGACCCAGGAAATTCTCCAGAGGCACCAGATGAACACAGATACCATCTTAAAAGGATTCCTCTAGCCATACTGGGACAAAGGGAGCATGGAAATAGAGAACAGCAATAGAGGAAAACAGTTTGGGAAAATGGGTGTTGAGCCATACTGATATCGGTCAGCACATGAGTAAAGAACTATGGAGATAAGTAAGCAGTATACTACACACCAGGTCATCATTGAAGAGGACCAGGAGAATTATAACACATAGCCTATCACAGCAGTAAGTGATTAACTTTCACACATATATATCCAGGGACATATTTGCACAAGCATGAGTATATACACAACACACACTAACAAATGTCAATGTAAACACACAGCTCTCACCTCGAAGGAAGAAGAGAGTTCATTCTGGAGTCAAATATATGTGAGTAAACATGAGTGAGACAGGTTTATGTTAGTACAAATTGCAAGTTACAATGTGGAAACAGTTTCATGAAGTTTTTATAATCACAGAATGAAGAAACTATAGTCTCTCCTTAAGTACATGGGTGATAATATTAAGTAGACTGTTATGGTAAAGCAGAGAAACCTCAGCTACAGGCACTAGCTGCTATGTGATGAAAAGCAGTCCTTTGACTGGTAGAAACTTAAAGCTTTGATAAGGAGACATATTCTGATATTTTAAATGTCAGGTCCAACGTCATCTGTTAGTGACAAGGTGTTAAGTAAGTCCAACACAGGGGGCCCAAGGAGTGGCTACTCATGGGCTCAAGAGAACACAAAGGAAATTGTAATTAGGCCCTGGGACTGCGACTTCCACCATCTCCATATCACTGCAGGTCTAAGAGTCAATCAACCAGGCTTTGCAGACCAGCCTCTGCCAAGGAATTCTTGTACACACACACACACACACACACACACACACACACACACACACACACACACGACACCTCTCATTCTCACTCTCCTAGCTCCCTGGTGTTTACTGAGAGCTCAAGGGGTACAACCACGTTAAAACAGATTCATCTCTGACCACACACAGGATAGTGAGAGCTACAAAATTATGTATGTCTTTTGCGTGTGATATCTGTGACGATGGCCATGGACTTGTCTCTGGGACATTTCTCTCATTTGTTTCTGACTGTCAATAATAACCTGTAAATGCTGATAAGGAAAGGGGGAGAAACTGCATTACACATCAAATGAAGTTCCCATCACGGAATAATCCATGCTTTCAACAAAAAAGATTATATCAGACTTAAGAGTTCCATATGTCTTCCCAGGGCATATGCCTTTGAGGTTAGGTTATGCAGGGCCTCTCATTTAATAAATTATTTTCCTATGATTGTGGTCACATTGAGAAAACTACTTTGCATTCATCTGCAATTATTAATCGGCTTTTATACTTTCTTGTAATTCTCCTTCAATCCATATTTTGCTGTGTGACTGAAATATAAGTATGAAAGATTTGCATTCTCCTAATGAATTTTACACATAACATTACTGCATGTTTTAAAATTGTTTTATTCCACTTTAGTTTTAGTTCTTTCTTAAACGTTAAGATTATAACTCTAGATTTCTAATAACTCGTTCCTGGATGGTATGTGTTTACTTCTTTTTAAGTGTTCAAGTTAACATTTTAATGCCTTTGTTTCAGATATATGTCTTGAAAAAAGCAATCATTTTAGAGTCTATTTCAGTCAGCAATAAGAACATCGGTTATTTTTGGCTTTTGTTTTGTGTTTGGTAAGTTATGTCCATTTACATTTTTTACATTTATTTGTCTGCCTATTTTGTGTGTCTGGCAAGGCCATACATGATCTACAGTGTACTTGTAGAGGTCAGAGGACAACTTGCAGGAGTCATTTCTCTGCTTCCACAATGTGAGTCCTGGGGATCCAACTGAAGTCATCAGAAGCAGTACTCGGGCTTCTATTACACTTTAATACGATCTACATATAAGGTGAGTCACACAGTATACCTTTTTGTCCAACATATTTACTTGTAAACTTTCATTGCAATGAGTCATTGAACTTGTTCATGGCCTCTAGTTTCTGGTACACTATCATCATGGGACCCTCAACAAAACTCCTCTAGGATATCCTGCAGTCACCCCACGTAACAGAGATTCTGCAGGTATTGTTCCCCAGGACCAGTCAATTCCAGCATTCCAGTAGGCCTTAGATGGTGTAGATGTTAGGATGGGCCAAGCCAAGAACCCCAATATGGACCTGGGTGGTAGCTGAGCTGATCAGCTGCCTGCCTAAGGATAGGGCCGAAGCCAGCTCACCTATGCCCATGGCACCAGGCCCAGTTTTCCAATGCCCATGGTGAGGTGTGGGACTAGCTCTCCTGTGAAAGTCAGGGCCAGCTCTTGACACAATGTCCACCAAAGGGCAGAACCAGCTCACTCTGGCCCTTGGATATCATCATTCATGGCTCTTAAGGCCCCCTGTAGTAACATGGGCCACAAACATCAGCACATACCCTAGCTCTGGTAGGACCATAGACCCAACATGATCCTGGCAACAACTCGTCCTTGATGTCACCATTTCCCGGGTGGTTTCACAGACCACACAGATCAGGATGGCACCAGCTGCAGCAAAGCCTTTGGACACCAACGTGGCCTCAGGTGGTGGCCCACACCTCAGGCATCCGCATGGCCTTCATTGGTAACAGGAGTCAGGAAGACAAAGACCCTGGCTACTGCTGGGTCACAGATATGGCCCTGGTCAGCAGCTCAGGCATGGACAACACCATGGCCCAGGTTGGCAGCTCGGGTCTCTCAGATCATTGTCACTCCAATGGCAACACAGCGCTCAGATCCCAACAAGGCCAGAGGACACAGCCCAGACTCCAGGCTCCTGTGTGCCCTTTGGTGGCAGCGTGGACCATGGATGTTAACATAGACCCAAGCTGCAATAAGAACAGAGACCCAGAAATGACCTTTGGTAGCAACCTCGGTCCTGATGACCCCATGACCATGAATGACAAGAAGACCACCCCCTCAGCCTGTTCCTTACCACCTTCTATTCCCCCTCTTTTCACAGCACATGAACCATCCCGCTACTCTTTCTCTCCTGTTTCTCCACCACACATTTTGCTCATTGTAATGGAAGCCTTGTAGCTCTGGGCAGGCCTCTGGTTGTCTACCAGCCAGACCAGGCTTTGAGGACTCTGGCTGGACTGTGATTGGCTAGTACCTTCTGGACCTGGATGCCATAAGGCAGAGTGGAGATGTCTTTCTGCCAGACAATGAGTACAATTAAAAACATATATGTGTAGTGTAAACATTTCAGCTCAAATGTAAAGGGATCCTGGCCGTCCAGATGCAAGGAATACCACAAAGTCAGTATAAGCTTAGCAGCTTACAGATCTGCTTCAGGGAAAGCTTTCCTCAAAGTAACAGCTCTGCTCCATCAGGAAAGTTGTTACAGCTTTGGTCAAATGACAATTAACATATCAAGAAACTGAGAAATATTTTTCCAAGTTATTGTCCTATTTCCCATGGCTACCAGCAGTCAGTATGATAGTTTCATCCCCCACAACCTTGCCAGGTCTTCATATTATTATTTCTGAATATTTTGTGGGGGTGTCAAGAGTCCCCTAGAATCACCTGTCTCTCTTCCCTAAGTGTTAAGGATGTTGATGCTGTATGTTCCGCTTAGTGGAGCATCTACTCACCCTTCTGGACAACTTTTATTTCATGAATTGTGTATTTTCTTAGTGACTCTTTTTTAGGCTTTCTGTATTCTGGAAACAATAAGGCTGTCATCTAATACACAATTTCCTACATTCATTTTTTCCCAGGCAGGGAAAATATCTTTTATATCACAGTGTACATTTTTCACTTTATGGAAGTCCTAACAGTCCAGTTCTTCTTTTCATAAAAGGGGTTTGTTATATCTATGAATTTTGTCTATAATTCTTTCAATTGCTTTCTGTTACAAGATTCATGCTTAGGTTGTATTTTGGATTAATTACCTTTTAGATTTGCTTTCAATATTTACTGGGTATCTGCCTATCTGTTTGTGTGTGCCATATGCACATTTGAATGCAGATGCTTGCTGAGACCAGAAAAGACTGTCAGCTCCCCTGGATCTGGAGTTATAGGTATCTCTGGGCCACCATATGGGGACTGTAAGCTGAAGTCAGGTCCTCTGCAATAGCCAAAGGCACTCTTAACCTCGGAGATGTCTCTCTAGTCCTATGTAGATCATTTGTTAATTTTGGTTGACTTTTGTATCCGGTGATAAACAACTTGTCTATATTTATATTTGTCCATGAGGATGCCCACTTGTCCCATAATAAGACAGAAAAACAGGGCATTGAAGGGGATATGAGAGGGGAATACACAGCCCCTCACCCTGTGATCATTTTTTTTTTTTTTTTGGATTTTCGAGACAGGGTTTCTTCATAGCTTTTTAGTTCCTGTTCTGGAACTAGCTCTTGTAGACCAGGCTGGCTTCGAACTCACAGAGATCTGCCAGCCTCTGCCTCCCAAGTGTTGGGATTAAAGGCGTGAGCCAACACCACCCGGCCCTGTGATCATTTTTACATTTTTCTAACTGACATTCAAGAAGCCTCCACCCAACTGATAGAGTCGAAATTACCCACAGATATAATGCAAGTAGTACTAAAGACATCCCAAATAGTGTTTAAAAAATACAGCAAATAAACTAGGGTCCGAGGACAGGGTTCATTCTTTAATATCACTGGATGTCTTCCAGAGGATCCAGGGTTGATACCCAGCACCTACCTGATGATTCACAACTGTCTGTACTCCAGTTCTGAGAGATCTCAAACTCTGGTGTCCTCTGTGAGCAATAGGTATTCACTCAGATGGTGCACAGACTTCCTTGTGAAAAACATTAAAAAAATTAATTAATTATGCTTACTTAGGACCAGAATGTTGGCAGAATCACATATTCACCTTACAATTTAATTTACTAAAATTTTTTTAAAAGGGATAAGAACATTTAAAAGCATTTTTATTTTTTACTTTTAATAACCTATTGTATATTTTCTTCAAGTGGAAAAACAGAACCATTTCAAAGACTCAAAGCATGTAATTTTCAAACAATGTAATAATGTAACAATGTAACTCTGAGAACCATAAAAATCTTCACATTTCTCACTCTCCTGCCCTCCTCACACACCCTAATCTCAAGTCTCTCTAGTCCTCACTCAGGCCTTCATTCCTGAGCCATCCCTATACTATGTGAGCTTCTTCCATAGCATGAATAAGCTCACAAGCTTTGCTTCATTCTGGCTTTTCCTGAAATTCTTTTCTGCAGCCTAATCATAGATCCAGCTTTACCAAGGTCATGGTCATCAAAGGAACAGGGTTATCCTTAGGCAGCTGATCACGATGCTGGGCTGTACCTCCTATAACCACCAACAGTCCCAGAAAAACTCGGTGACCAGCATATGCCTGCTTCACTGAAGTGTCTTTGTGTCTTTGCTAAAGGTGTCCCCTCACACGTGTGTGACTCTTCTGTCCCCTTCATATTCTTTTCTGTCTTATTGTAATTACCAATGAGGCACACTGTCTTCATTTCTCTATGTTTATAAGGAGTTTGGGAGTCAGGTGTTCATCCTCCAAGTTTGTTCCTTTTCAAGGTTGTCAATGTCAGGTCTCTTCTATGAGAAGAACAACAAGACTGTAGAGAGTACACACAGAAGGTTGACAAGAAGCTGACATGAGCCCTTGTTTCCAGTATGTGAGTCATCAGTGTCACCAGTGTGTGAGTGTGTGTGTGTGTGTGTGTGTGTGTGTGTGTGTGTGTGTGTGTGTGTCTGTATAGGAAGGGTCTGTGAGATGAACAAAGAAGAGGAAGATGTCACTGCACATCTTTGACTTGACTGGATGCAGACAGACTACTCCATCCCTATATTCAGTACAGTAGAGTGCATGAGCGTTCTCATCTGCCTTCCTCCCCTCTCCATGAGATTTCTCTCCTCCTTCTCTGCCTTCTAGTAGAACAGGGGAGAAAACAGTGAACTTTCCATGCAGAACCAACTCCTGGAGAAGAACCAAATGTGGTGTGGTCTGGTCAGCCTGTTACCTGAGCAAGAGTGACAAGATCATGTGGGACTCACCAGGTCAGTCATTTCCTTTTCTCTTCCCATCCGTGTGACCAGCAGCAGGTCTGTGATGCCTTGTAGGAACACATCCTGTTGAGCAGGTAGCAGCAAGAGCAGCACACTGTAGAACAATGGCATTCATAGACTCCCCAGATGACAGAAGTCTGCATGGGTTCCTTTAAATGACCAGGACTGAAATGGACGCCATCCCCATCAGACCATTTCCCCGAAAGGGCCATGCATTACTGCATCACATTTGCAGGGAGTGCTTTTTAAAATGGTAGATATCTGTGTCCACGACAGACACTAAATCATGCTTATTAAAATGTTAGATATCTGGGTCCACAACAGACACTGAATCAATACCTGAGAAGTGGGGTGTGGCATAGCCACTTCTTTCTGATGGCTGTCCAGACTGAGAAGCTTCTGTAAAGCAAAGGACACTGTCGCTAAGACACAAAGGCAACCCACTAACTGGGAGAAGATCTTCACCAACCCCGCAACTGACAAAGGTCTGATCTCCAAAATATATAAAGATCTCAAGAAACTAGACCGTAAAAGGCTAACCAACCCAATTATAAAATGGGGCATTGAGCTGAACAGAGAATTCTCAACAGAAGAACTTCAAATGGCCAAAAGACACTTAAGGTCATGCTCAACTTCCTTAGTGATCAGGGAAATGCAAATCAAGACAACTTTAAGATACCATCTTACACCTGTCAGAATGGCTAAAATAAAAAACACCAATGATAGCCTTTGTTGGAGAGGTTGTGGAGAAAGGGGTACACTCATCCATTGCTGGTGGGAATGCAAACTTGTGCAACCACTATGGAAGTCAGTGTTTCGGTTTCTCAGGAAATTCGGGATCAACTTACCCCTGGACCCAGCAATACCACTCTTGGGAATATACCCAAGAGAGGCCTTATCATACAACAAAAGTATATGCTCTACGATGTTCATAGCAGCATTGTTTGTGATAGCCAGAACCTGGAAACAACCTAGATGCCCTTCAATGGAAGAATGGATGAAGAAAGTATGGAATATATACATATTAGAGTACTACTCAGCAGTAAGAACCAAGGACTTCTTGAATTTTGCATACAAATGGATGGAAATAGAAAACACTATCCTGAGTGGGGTAAGCCAGACCCAAAAAGAGGAACATGGGATGTACTCACTCATATTTGGTTTCTAGCCTTAAACCAAGGACATTGAGCCTATAATGAGTGATACTAGAGAAGCTAAATAAGGAGAACCCAAAGAAAAACATATAGGCATCCTCCTGAATATTAACCTTCAGCAGGCGATGAAAGGAGACAGAGACAGAGACCCACATTGGAGCACCGGACATAAATCTCAAGGTCCAAATCAGGAGCAGAAGGAGAGAGAGCACGAGCAAGGAACTCAGGACCGCAAGGGGTGCACCCATACACTGAGACAAAGGGGATGTTCTACTGAGAACTCACCAAGGCCAGCTGGCCTGGGTCTGGAAAAGCCTGGGATAAAACCGGACTCTCTGAACATAGCAGACAATGAGGACTACTGAGAACTCAAGAACAATGGCAATGGGTTTCTGATCCTACTGCACACGCTGACTTTGTGGGAGCCTAGGCAGTTTGGATGCTCAACTTACTAGACCTGGATGGAGGTGGGGTTCCTTGGACTTCCCACAGGACAGGGAACCCTGATTGCTTTTCGGGCTGAGGGGGGGACTTAATTGGGGGAGGGGGAGGGAAATGGGAGGCGGTGGCGGGGAAGAGACAGAAATCTTTAATAAATAAATAAATTAAAAAATTAAAAAAAAAGTATTGCTAGTGGGTTTTACATTCTGTCTTTCAGGATATGGATCACAGACTGCTTAATTCCATACAATGTCCTCTTGTTAATCCCATAAATACCAGTGTGTTACATGGCATATCAAATAGATAAATCAATTCCTTCATGTATGTTTATTCAGATATTCACATAGTGGCCTCTTTTGTGAGCACCGGGTTCCTGCACTGAGAAGACTAGCAGAGTTAGATGGCTAAATTGTCAGTAAGTAGAGGATAGCAGTAATTGCAGCAACTCCATATGTTATTTGTGCTTTAAAGAACTCAAGGTGGACATAAAATGGCTGTGATGGGGATTGTTGTAGGTGGGGTTTCCCCCAAAGGTCGGTTTCATCAGGTAGCATTTGACTCGAGTCCTGATTGACAAGAAGAAGAAGGGATATACAAGCCTTGTTGGTGGGCTTGTCCACATGGACCTCATTTGGTCTACGAGCAGAGGACAAGCCTAGAGGCTGGCGGACAGTGTAGTCATGTCGGTGTGAGGTGGAAAGGGTAGATGACTCTCATAGTCTTTCAGTTGTATTATGACTATGAAAGGAAGATTTGGAGAGAGTCACAATTTCACTCTTGTTGTTGTTATGTTATTGTGTGTAGAATGAACTGAGTAGAAACTGTTGCGAGAGTGGGTTGGAACAGCCATTATGGTCAACGGGAGCCATGCAGCTGCAGTGTGTAGAGAGTGGAACCTTTGGCCATGGCTGCTGTTGGCAGGGCAGTGACTGTGCATGGGGCTTATGGGGAAGAGGCGGGGCAAAAATTCCTGGGCTTTTCTGGCTCCATGTCCACATAGTGGTGCTGTTTTCTGATATCAGTTGTTTCTTGTGTTTTTGAGACATTCCCTGGATGGTTTGGAAACCCAATGACCCTTATCGTGAAACTTGGTGATTTAATGACACACATCAGTTGATGAAGAAGCTTCTCTCATCTCTGCAGCAATACTTGCTCACCTTAGTGA